GCAGCAGCCGCCCCACACCACAGCGCGTCAGCATCTCGGCAGCCACACTCCCCACGCCACCCACGCCCACAACCGCCACCTGAGGCAAAGGGGGCACCGCGGGGTGAAGGGCTAGTCAACATGCGTACTGGTAACGCCGCGCCAACTCCAAGCCACTCCGTCATGGCATGCATCCGGCTGCTGGGCTCTTCACCTGGTCCGCCTGGAGCCGCCAAGTGGGGCGCGCATCACCAGGCACCGGTGCGCCGCGCTACGCCAGCCCTCCGCCCCCATCGCCACCCGGTGAGGTGCGGCATGCTTTGCCCCCCACCGTTTTGTCGCGAATGCGTTCATAGTCCTTCACGATGCCCATGCGCTGCAGCGCCATCAACCGGCTGTAGGGGTTGCTGTCGACCACCTCACTGCTCATCTGGCTGATGCGCTCGCGCACAGGGCCGGGGGCCTCGGAGGGAGGGCGGGCAGCGGCTGCGGCCTGGGAGGTTTGGCGCGAGCGGAGGCGGGCGAGGCGGCAGGGTTGGGGCGCAGTGGCTACACAGCGACCTGCGCTCAACATGCGCTACTCACTGGTGCTGCCCGCGGCCCGAGCTTTGTGCGCCTGGCTGCAAGTGCCGCGGTTGCACGCCGGCGGGCGTGCCCTACCTGGGTTGCGCTGCCCAGGGCACTGACGCCAGCCTGCAGTTTGCCATTGAGGGCACGGATCTGCTCGGCGAGCTGCATGGGAAGAGAAGGGGGGAGTAGCCGTCAAGGCGAATGCACTAGGCTCGAAGGCTCGGCAGCTCGGCAAACGGTTGGCGACGGTTGGCAACAGCAGCTCTTCAAGGCCTGCTGCTTGCCTGCGGCCCCCCGCCGCACCTTGTCCACGTTGGCCTGCATCTCTGCGGGGTCGAGTGCCTGGATGCTGCTCTACAGATGCGGTCCAAACAGCAGTGAGGGCTCAAGTTTCTCGCTGGCTTGGGCAAACCGAACGACGGCGCAGGCGTGCAGCGCGCAGCGGTTGCGGCAGTGTTTGATGCGCACCTGCAGCTTGGCCAGGTCAGCCTGCAAATCGCCTGTAACAGCACTCATATCTGCGCTTGTACCAAATAAACCTCAGCTGCTACACAAATCGCAGTACACTGCTGTTCAGTTGTGCGCTTGATCTACCGTAGCTCCTCGATCGGCTGAACGCTCGAGGGCTGTGGAAGATTAGCGTCAACGCGCGCGAGATGCATTGACGAAAGCGCTTCTCCGTATGCAGCTGCTGTTCTTAGAAAGGCATTTCGACTGACCCGTGCCAGTGGGCGCAACAGGCAGAATGGAGCTCGACAGGGCCTCCCTCCTGGCCGTCTTGCAGCGGCTAGACAAGCCGGGGGACCTCGTGACCGCGGCGCTCGCGTCGCCGGTCATCGCCCATCTCGCCCGCGCGCCGCTGCTGTGGACGCGCTTTCTATCAGAGCACTATGGGCTACACCTGGTGAGCTCGCAGCTGCAGGCTTGGGTGCTGAAGGCCTGTGGCATGCGGACGCACGTCACAGATGCAGGCTGGCTACTTGTTGCCAGTGGCAAGGCAAGTGGCCCTGCGTTTCATTGCTGTGGCGCTGCCATCCCCCCACCCCCAGGAGGGCCCCGGGCTGTCGAGTGTTGATTTGCAGGCAGTGTTTGCGCGCATGGCAGCGGCGCGCAGCACCACCAAGCCCAGCGCGCTGCGGTTCCTGGCAGCATACACGGACGGCGGCACAGACGGTGGCGAGGATGAGCTGCATTACTGGGCCGAGTGAGCCGCCTCATGGGCAGCCAGGCAACCCTGCTGCCCTCCCCAGCTTGCCGCAACGCCAGGCGTGCCGATACTGCGTGAGACTAGCCTGGGGATCAATCGCGCTGCCACCACGAGCCTCGGGAGCGGTGCCCTGACATTGCCGCCTGTCCCACAACCTAATCCACGCCACCATGCTCCTGTTGGCACTTGCAGCCACGCATTCGCGCCCCAGGTGTGTGGGTTTGGGGGTTGGGAAACTGGGGACCGGGGGCTGCCGTGAATGTTTGTCGTGAATTGGGTGACAATTCCAACAGGCGCAGCGCAGTGTGGGGATGCGAGGAGTGCGGGCCAGTCGCGACAGCTGGCAAGGCTGCACTCATCCGGCGCAGCCGGGCTAACGCAGGCCCTGCTCTTCCCCCCAATGCACCGATTGCCTTGCGGTAGCACTGGTCGCCCTACTGCAGCGACTCACCTGCCGACATCTCAGTTGTGGGCCTGCTCAAGGTGTGCTTGGCACACGCATCGCCACCCTTGCTAGGGTACAGGGCAAAACTGTTGCAGTGTGGAGGGGCTGTCCCTGCAAACACCAGGGCTCAGCGCTGGGTGCCCAAGGCAGGGCCGCTGCCTTGCCGCTACTGCTGCTGCTGCTGCTATTGTGCGCTGTGAGGTCACCCAGATTTTCATATGCAATTGCGCCTACATGCTGTTGTACCTGCCGCTTCGTCACCATCTTGCGACCTCGGCCCCCCACCTGCAGGCACGCCCCCACGAGCCCGACTTGGCGCGCGCCCGCCACCGGTCGTACATGATAGACCGTTCCAAGTGGGCAGCCATGGTGCTGTTCGCGCCGCAGGGGCAGCGCGCGGCACCCGATGATCCGGGGCCCGCGGCGCGCATGTTGAGCACGTGGTCCATGGCTGGCCTGGAGCGCCTCTACGCAGACCTCTTCCAGGCACGAGGGGGCTGGGGGGAACGTTGATCCAGGGCCGTGTGTGGCCGTCACCCTGGGGCGGTGATGTCTTTGTTTTTGTCTCCATTCAACTCCCGGGGGAGTCCGGCCCTCTCGAGACAGCCCGCCCTGACAGCCCCCCCAAGCCCTTCCCCCGAGAGCTGCTGTCATCCACTGTCCTCACGGGACCACAGGACCTTGTGATGCATCAAGACAGCACCTGGGGCAAGCACCTGCTGCGCGGCGTGCCCGCTTCTGCGCGGCGTGCGGAGCTGCACCGGCTGCGGGACGCGTTTGATGCGGTTCTGGCGCGCGCGTCTCTGGCGTCCTACAGGCTCGTGGGCATAATGGGGAGACCCCCCACGCATTGTGCATGCGCACATAACCAACATACCGCTGCCTCCTGCCCCGATTAGACTGGGCCATTGCCTGGGGCGTGGTCACCAACCAGGCAGTGCGGGCCTCCGTGTGTGGTCTGCCTCATCTGAGCAACTCGCATCGCCCTGCCGTGCCTGTTCCGGCGCAACCCCAGGGTGGAGCGGTTGGACCCCCGCCTCGTGGAGGAGGCGCGCGAGGCGGCGCAGCGGGCGGCCGCCGAAGCGCCGCCGTTCTTTGCCCCAGCAAAGCCTGAGCAGCAGCAGGGCCAGCCAGCCGAGACCAGCAGCGCAGCCGCGGCAGTGGCAGCGGAGTTGGCACATGGCGCGGCTGCAGTTGGTGCAGAGTCACCACCCCCAGGCGGCGCAGCCCCAACAAGCCCACTCAGCGATGGGGCCGCCCGCGCGGGGGCCCTGGCTCAGCGGCAAGCGCAGCCGTGGATGGCCGCCGCGATGGCACCCGCACTGGTGGCGGCAAGGCATTTGCTGGATGCGGCTGTGCTGCCTCACTTTGCATCGGCCACCTTCGGCTGTGACACCGCTGTCGTGGAGGAGGTTGTCGCGTCGCGGACGGGCCACTTTACGTGCCCGGTGTTGTGCGGAGCTGTTCTGCTGGGGCAGGCGCCCAGTGCAGGCGGCGGTGCGGCGCGGCAGGATATGCTGCAGGCACAGCATGAGAGCGCGGGCAGCAGTATCAGGCAGCAGCAGCAGCAGCAGCAGCAGCAGCAGCAGCAGCAACCACAGGACCAGCGGCAACGCATTGGCGCAGCAACGCACGGCTGGGCCCACCTGGCTGGCGCCGCCCGGCGCCTGGTGGCGGTCCCCCTGGACCCGCTTTGCGCTGCACTCAATGGGTGCACCAGCGCCGACGCCGTGCTCGCTGCCTGCGACGCCGGGGAGCTGCCGCCTGCGGTCGCCCGCCACTGTCTGGCCGGGGCCGAGTGGGTTGAGTTCGCGCCCCTTACTCCCGAGCAGCTACGGGCACGCCACGCGCGCGGCTGGCACGCAGCGCCAGTGGTATGGTTTCGCTTTGCCGCGCGCGCGGAGCTGCCGCCCGAGCAGGTGGCAGCGGGGCAGGTGGCGCTCAATGTGCTGGGCCCAGGGGACGAGGCAGAGGTGATTGCTGGCCCAGGGGCGCTTGTGGAAGAGGAGGTTGGCGATGACGAGGACAGCGGCAGCGGCGATGATGGTGATGATGCAGAGGAGGAGGCGGGGGAGGGGGAGCAGGAGGTGGAGCACGAAGAGGGGCAGCAGGAGGGCGGCGGCGGTATGTTGCCGCCTCTGCTCACCAGCAGCGACGACGAAGAGTTTGGAGATGCAGAGAGTGGCGGCTACGACGGGCCCGAGGACGAATACGGCTTGGATGAGAACGCAGGCGCGGCGCTTGAGGCCATGGCAGCCGGGCCAGCAGGCGGAGGAAGCGCAGCGTCTCAGGGGGCGGTGGGGTCGGGGCAGTCACAGCATCACGCGCAGCCGGAAGGCGGGCCTGCACCCGCCACATGCCCAAGCAGCGGCGGCAGGCCAAGCGGCGGCAGCAACGGCAGCGGCTTCAATAGCGGCCCCAGCGGTGCAAACGGCACAGGCAGCGGTCCCAGCACGAGCGGCGCGCCACAGGCGCCTGCCGCGTCGACTGTGCGCGCGGCCGCCCCAGGATTTGAGGTGCTGCCGGCAGTCGACCTGGGGGAGCTGGACCACCGCGGCCCTGAAGCCTTGGTGCTGCGCATGCAGCTGGCGCACCGGCGCGCAGGCAACCTGTGTGTCGTCAGGCTCATCAACCAGGTGGGAACCTTGGCAGGAGGGTGCGGGAGTGGGCGTTGCAGCGTGGTGGCTGTCACCAGGGGCCAAGTGGGGTCGCGGGACCGAAAGGTGCCTGATTTGCAGTCTGCTGGGGCCCAGCTATGATCTACCTGTTGCTCTGCAGCTGGAGCAGTGAGACTGATTAGAGTCCGTGATCTTCGCTGCATCTCGCACAACCTGCGCACCGCCGCATCGACAGGAGAACCTGATGCAGCAGTACGGCGACGCCCACGAGGCCCCCAATATAGACGTTCAGTATGTAGCCCTCCGTGGCTGGGCGCTGCAGCTGCCGTCTGGCGTTGATGTGCTGTGAGCTGCCAGGCAGCACGGCTTGCTGGTTCGGCATATGGCCTTAGTGCGGGCGGGCGGAAGCGGGGGGCAGGACAGCCCTGTGCGGACTGCTGCGTCCCTGTGCAGATGGCAGGCTGTGCCCTGGAAAGGTGGAGAGGCCTGTTGTGTACATTATGTCGCAGCTTGTAGCATACTCTGTAATATGCTGTCGCAGTATGCCATGCTGTTGCAGCAGTGCTGATAAGAGAGGAGGTGGGGCTGGGTGGGGGTGGTCGAGACGAGCACGCCAAGGGCCACTTCTCCAATTGCTGACTCAGGCATGGTGTAGGATGGTCACCTGCTCAACCCGGCCTGTTTGCGCGTGTGTCTGGGGCGGCAATGATAAAGCACAAACGAACTCATGATTGGGTGTGGTGCACAGTCCAATTGGCACTGCTGGGGGCGTAATATGCCTGGATTCTGCCTAGTCCTTCTGTGCCCCCTGGCCCTGCCCGCGCCCGATTCTGCCGGCGTGGCGGGTCCGCCCTCTGCTGCCGGTCCATATATGCAGACTAAATTTTCAACTCGATTGCCAATTTGACCACCTAGTCGCACTGCTGGCCGTGCATGCTCTCGTGCCCGCCTGCCTGCCCAAGCAAAATTGCAATCAAGAGCGCACCGCCCCTGAGAACGGCACCTTTCGACGAGCACCCGCCGTCGACCCGATAAGTAGCTGTCCATACAGCTGCTTGGGACCCCACAATACATCTCCGCTTGAACGATATCGTGGTGAGCGGGGCCAGCCTCTTTCAGCGCGTGTAGTAGGCCTGGGCTGTGCATATCAAGCGCTTTAATTTGCGCATGTGAAACATTCGCTGCGGACGGGCAGAGGGGCAAGGCTGCTGGGTGGCTGGCTCTGGCGCAACAGAGGGCGACCCTGGAATGGCCGGCCGGCCGTCCTCACGGCTCAGGCCGGCATGAGCGCGATTGTCGCCTTGGCGACCTACTTGATTCTGCACGGCAGCCTGCAGGCGCGTGCGATGGCATTGGTCAGGGGTTCTTGGCCCCTCTTCTCTCACACGCGGGCCTGACGTCCGTACCCTTTCCCCGCAGCTCAGTATATAAGATGGCGACCACTGTTGTTGCGCCTGAGATGGCCTCTATCTTCGACAAGCTCTCGCTCGAGGGTGAGCGCTGTCGCCAGCGCCCTCGCGCGCCGCCGGCTGCCACCGTCGCTGCTGCTTGCCACGCTGGGCCGCCGCGGTGGTGCATGTATGATGGCTGTGATGGGGCCGGCGTTTGGTTCACACGCTGCAGTTGCGTCCTGGGTGCTGCCATGCTATGGTTCGAGTGGGACCGGCGCGTTGCGAGTCGCCACTGGACCTTGCCAAGTGTCAGCCTTGGCCCACCCTATTGCCGGCACCCACCCTGACAACCCCTTCCTCTCCCCGGCGTTGCTCTGCCTCCACATACGCCACCCCCTTGTGACCTTGGCCTTGACAGGCGACCGCTCGGCCGTGGCGTCTGAGCTGGCCACCGCCGTCAAGGCGGGCGGCGTCTCGGCGCTCGTCAACAGCGGCGCGCTGGCCCAGCTGAAGGCCGGCGTGGAGGCCAAGGAGGCCGGCGCGCGGGAGGGTGCCCTGCTGGCGATCGCCGCCGTCGCTGACGGCGTCGGCCGCCCTGCGGAGCCCTACCTGATGCCCCTGCTGGGTCCCGTCCTCGCCGCCCTGGCTGACAAGGCGACGCCCGTGCGCGCGGCCGCGCAGAAGGCGCAGGCGTCTCTGGAGGCGCTGCTCAACCCCCACGGCATCGGCGCGGCGCTGCCGACGCTGTTTGAGGCCATGCTGGCGCAGAAGTGGCAGTCCAACGAGGGCGCCTGCAAGATGCTCAGCGCGCTGACTGACCGCGCGCCCCGCCAGGTGGCGCTGTGCCTGCCCGAGATCGTGCCCGTCGTGACCGAGGCCCTGGGCAACGCCCGCCAGGCCGTCAAGGACGCCGCCGTGGAGGCCATGACCAAGTGCATGTTTGTGGTCGGCAACCGCGACATCGAGCAGTTCATCCCCATCCTGGTCAACTGCCTGCAGAACCCCTCCACCGTGCCCGACACCGTGCACAAGCTCGCCTCCACCACCTTTGTGCAGACCGTCGAGGCCCCCACCCTGTCCATCATGGTGCGCACCGCACGCGCGCAAGCGGTCCGTAAGACTGTGCATGGGGCGCGCATTTGGGTGACTCGGTCGCCGGGCCCCTCTCTTTACCCTCGGTGTGTCGGCCCTGCACATCGCGCTCTGCCCGAAGCTGGACGCAGGCCGGCAGGCTGCTCAGCCACTGCGGTGCGCAGAGTCAGGTTTTCAAGCCTCAACATGCCGCCCCCACCCCTATCCGCACCCCTCCTCCCCAGGTGCCCCTGCTGGTGCGTGGCCTGCGCCAGGACAACACCACTGCTATCAAGCGCAAGGCCTGCCTCATCATTGAGAACATGGCCAAGCTGGTGGACAACCCCCTGGACGCCGTGCCCTTCCTGCCCAAGCTGCTGCCTGGTGAGCACGTAGCGGGAGCCCCGGCCTGGCTTGCGGCCAGATGGCGCCCCTGGGGAGGCGTTTGGAGGCAGCGAGGGATGGGTGCTGAGCATTACTGGAGCCTGCCAGCGTGTGCCCTGCGCCCAGCCGCACGCGAACTCGGGACTACCCTGCCAACCCCACCTGCAACCGCTGTCATGATGGACCTCTCGGCCACTGCTGCCCTGCTGCGTCTCCCCACCCACTTGCCTTTCCTCCACTTACCCCCTCCCCCTC